TTTATCTTCCATTCTTGAATCGTGCGCAAGGCAAGAACATAACGTTTACATTTATAGACAAATCTTTGTAGCTTATTCAATAATTCGTCATTAATATCGAACATCACAGGTGAACAATAATTACAATTTAAAACATTTTTTAAAATATTATACAGGCCTGAGTTCATTTTGCAACTACGGAAACTTGTTTACGCCAATTTTGATTATTTGGAATCTCAATTTCTAATTTTTTTTAGAGAATTGTCAAACTTTAATGTCGTGTTTTTGATACAATTTTTTTTACATTATTCATGCCTTAAGTAACTGTGAACTGGGTGCAATATCATAGATTTACATTTTGCGGTTCAGTGTGATGATTATTACACCAGATTACAAGACCACATAACTCAAGAGTTAATGATATCGACGCCATCATTTCTGCTATTTATTTTCGACGAATGTATGCTCAAATTATCTGCATACATATCGAAGGAACATTTCTCGAAATTCTCAGAAATCCCGTTTATATATAGTGTGAATAACAGAGCGTATAAAATACAACCCTGCGGGATATCAGTTTTTAATTTTTCCCATCTAGAAAATGTATTAATCAATACTATTTTTTGATAAATCCCAGGCCCTGAAGATGATCTCAATAAAGATCGAAACGTTGGCAGGATAAAGAAAATGTTTTTCTAAAACCTACGTCACACCAGACCGCACCTCACGATCTCCAAATAACTATTTTTTTAATATGATCTAAACCATTCTAGTACATTTTTAGAAAATTGCATATATTTCAAAATGGCTAAAAGCAAATCATGTTGCACACTATCAAATGCTTGAGTAAAGTCAGCATTAGTAAGCACAGTTACTTCACTGTTATCCACATTTTTATGAATTTCATCGAGCCAGTTTATTATCGCTGTATGAGTGTTATGATTCTATCTAGAGCCATAGTGAATGTTTAACAGAGTATACTTGTTCTTATTTATTAATTCTTTGAAATATTATTCTAAGATCTTTGCCAATGTGCACAAAATATTGATAGATAGAACATCTGATGGAATCTTGGGAGATTGTTCGTTTTGAAGAGAGAGAACAAATGATTGCTCCCATATGTCATAAAATATTGCTGAATTCAACGAAGTATTGACTAGTATTTCAACTTAATGAATTTGAGAAATGCTATGATAACACCGGCAGGGCCAGTTGTTTTTGAGTAACATTCTCTTCGTTAGCTGTGATTTCATAAAACCGTAGTTCTGGTCCATTCAAATTATTAGCCTTAATACGAGAAGAAATGTTGGTCAGGCATTTAGAATTATCAAAACGTTTATTAAGTTTATTTAGACTTACATCGGCGTCAGGATTTTCATCTTTGATTCTACTTAAACGTTGTGCTTTTATAAACGACTTAGTCATTTCGTAAAATTGTTTTTCATAAAATTTTTATTTTATTTCGTATTAGATTCTTTACCTTGTTTCTAAAAAATTTTATATTTATTCATATATCACTGTTAATGTGTCTGATTATTAATCTTCGCAATCTATCTCGTTTTTTAATTTTGATTAATTTTTTTTTGGTCAGCCAAGGAGCAGGTTTTTTAATAAGTCTAATAGTGGTTTATTTAAAGGAAAATATGTATGTTGAATATCTGAACGACCTTTTCATTAAGATCCGTACCGTTTACTATTAAATTTGTAAATTTTACAAAATCAAATTCTTTCATTAATTTAGTGTCAGTACTTTTAAAATCACGATTTTTCTAATTTTTGTGTACCTTTAGGTATTTTTAGACAGCAACAGATTGCATCATGGCCTGGTATTCTTTCGCGTGGAAACTGATCAAAAACCAAACTCTATCTGAATCAGTAATCATAATCTGATCCAGCCATGAGTGACAATTTAATCGATGGATTGTTGATTTTAGTGGTTAGTATTTTTAAACATGATCGATTGATTAAGCTTTTTGTTTGAAATAAATGGTAAAATCTTCATTTAAGTTTATGTTGGAATCTCCAACCATTACACTTAATTTATATTTCATGTACATTTATCTAAAACATCAAAATAGAATTACAAATTCGTTCCTTTCGGAGACTTATAAACAACATTAATTAAAATGTCTTAGTTGTGCTTTTACCTTTGCCAATTGTAAATTCAATTTCTTTATTATAATCATTAGAGGATTTGTAAAGAATTATGAAATGTACAAACACACACTCTTCAGAGAGAGTGAGAGGGAGGCAAACAGAGATTTGGGGCAGTAGATAACTATAGATAGATAGATTGAAAAAGAGAGAGAGAGAAAGAGAAACAGGTGAAGAGAGAGAGAGAGAGAGACATATAGACAGAGAGAGAAAGAGAGCAAGAAGAGAAGGAGAGAGAGACAGACAGAAAGAGAGCGAGAGAGAGAGAGATAGACAGAGAGAGAGAAAGGGAGAGGGAGAGAGAGAGAAAGAGAGAGACAGATAGACAGAGAGAGAAAAGGAGCAAGAAGAGAGGGAGAGAGNAGAGAGAGAGAGAGAGAGAGAGAGAGAGAGAGAGAGAGAGAGAGAGAAAGAGAGAGAGAGAGGCAGACAGAGAGAGACAGACACTCAGACAAACAGAGAGACAGATAGACAGAGAGAGAGTGAGAGAGAGATAGACAGAGAAGAGAGAGAGCAAGACAGAAAGAGAGCAAGAGAGAGATAGACAGACAGAGAGAGAGAGAGAGAGAGAGAGAGAGAGAGAGACAGGGAGAGAGGGAGAGGGAGAGAGAGAAACAGAGAGAGAGGGAGGGAGAGAGAGAGAGGGAGAGAAATAGTCAGAGACAGAAGGGGGAGAGAGAGAGTGAGAGTGAGAGAGCGTAAGATAGATGAATATACAGGGTGTCCCGTGAACAGATGTGAATACTTCATGAGGTTATTCTACGTGTCAAATGGGACTAAAAAGTTTTTATTGTTCATAGTCTGATTTTCAATTCTATTCGCGATATCACGTTTCGTGTTACTTCAACCTTTCACACCTTTCTCCCATAAATCCCCGTGTCTCATGAAATATTTCTCTTTTCTGAATTTGATGGCAACGATGGAGATAGCAATAAAAAATCTTATGCGAATTTTTTATATTTATAATTGCATCTTTAAGTAAACAAAACACGCAAAAAATGGAAGATAACCTTTTACGAGTTGGCCAAGTACTTGACTAATGTTTATGACATGGCACTTATAGAAAAGTTACCCGTACTAATGGACTTTAAACACATGTACTTAATTTCTCAAAGGCCAGTTATTTCCAATGTAAAATTAACATTTCACAACAATAAAGACTTTGGTTTAAGCTTGTCTTGAATTCTTCAAAAAGTTGTGTTTTAAATATTTAATTTAATTTTCAGAAGTTTTTGTTTATCTTTGTTCAGCAAACTGAATATAAATTGTAAGATAAAATACAAAAATTTTCCCCTCTGACTTTTTTTTCGAGAATCACAATTTTGATAATTTCGTGAGTTCTCCATCGATCCACGGGAAAATGTAAGGATTTGGAGCCCTATAAACTTCACGTAATGGCACAAATTGGTTTTCTTTAAATTAATTACAATCTGGGATGCAAAATAAATAGGTTTGAGAAGTTTCTGCTGGTTTCATTCTTTTTTTCTCACTTATAATCATATTAAAACTAAATATTATATAGGCTCAAAGGAGAACAATTAGGTTTTCCATCTGTTGTAATAGCGTTGAATTTTTTATATATAAAATCCGTATTTAAGCGTTTTAAAGAGTGCTTGAAATTCGAATTTTTATCTAAATATTCAAAATGTCGACCTTCTTTGGCTTTCGTTCTACAAGAAGGTGAATATTTTGAATATTTATTTTTAATTTTTTTAAATGTTATGTCTAATGTTAAATTTTGTACTAAAGAATCATTTGTATTTACTTTTTTATTACTGATATTATTTTTAACTAGAAATTTCAAAAACTGATTTTTTTAATCGTTTGTGAGGAAAAAATCAAACTTTAGCTGCTAAAAGTTAATTTTATATTGAAACTAATCGACCTTTGAGAAATTAAATACATGTTTTTAAAGTTCATTAGTAAGGACAAATTTTATTTAAATGCCATTGCTGTCAGTATTTACGGAACCAAAAAAATCTGACTTAAATTTTATACAAGGACTTTGCAAACTCGCAAAAGCTTATTTTCTAACTGATTTTATATTATGTGTTATTAAGGTTACAATTAATTACAAAATAATTCTCACAGGATTTTCAGTGCTCTTTCCATCGGTGTAATCAAATTTAGATTAATATTTTATGAGATACGAGGGAGTTATTGGAAAAAAGTGGTGAAATGTTGAAGTAATCTGAAAAGTGAAATATCTCAATACAATTGGAAATCAGACTTTGGAAAATAAGTCCTTTCAGTCCAATTTGACAAGTAGGATAACCTCCTGAAGTATTGCGGTTTTTTTCACGTGACACCCTGTATATCCATCCATCTCTCTTTCGCCTGCCTCTCTCTATCTCTTTCCTCTCTTTTTCTCTGTATAACGCTGTGTAAACCAGTATAAACACAAAAAATATACGACTCAAAATTGACCCCAGAGGGACTCCAGTTGTAATCTAAAAAGGTGTGGACAGTTTCGTTTAAAAATGATGGGAACGGTCTATTTTTCAGTCATGTGAAAATAATTTTCGCAATACATTTTGAAAATTTATCTTTTAGTCTGCGTATTCTGTGTCTAATCCGGTGTGCTTTGAATGATCAAACATTTTTCGGTAATTAGACTTTTTTGACCCGTGGTCGCGTCCAAATCTCGTGGTTGCATTTACAATTCGAGTTTTTTCTCGTCAAAATAAGTTCCTCAAAAATTTGAATAATTTTTTAAAAATTAACGTCTTAATGAAATAATTTGTCTTTTTTTTCTAATCAACTGCTCTTGGATGTAGCGAGACTTTCGTCGTCTCAACAGGTACAGAAAGGAAAACTTCAAATTTTAAACAATTCAACCGGGAATACATATATATAAATAAACTTACCATTTTACCGGATCAGAGTATTTGAGGTAATTCCAGAGCTGTGCATATGACACTAACATAGTTCTCAAGGGTGCTAAATATGACTGGGTCGCGCCTGCAGGTCACCGCCACCCTCCGCGTCTTTCTGTTTTCCTTCCCGTGATACCAGTCCTCGTCTTCCGCTCCTTGATCCAGATCCACAAAGCACCGGATCACAGAACCGACTGAGAGTTGAAGCGGAGCCGGCCGTCGCCGTGGGTCGAAGGAGTGGGACAGAGTCGCAGGGGAGAGAAAAGAGAGCCGGTGAGTGAGGGGGAAGACGGTGTACGCGTCTATCAATCACCAGTTGATTTTCAGCTGATCGATTTTGAACTATTTCTTGAATATTAGGAGGGCGGGCAGATCACCAAGGAAAGATGAACACAAACTAGAAAACAACAATAATCAAAGAATCAATCAACCTGATTACAAAATAATTGTTTTATTATAATTAAATCCAATTTTATTACAATTCAATATAAAATATGATTGAAACATCAAAATTGGTAGATCAATGAAAAAAAGACATACAAAAGTTAACATATGGAAGTGGGCGTGGCCAGATTTAATTATGGGCGGAGTCTGTTTTATGTCTGTGCCGTATAAAATGTTCTTGTGGTTTGATAGAAAAGTACAGATCATTTATGAAGACGTTGATAAAATGAAAACAAATAATAATATCAAAAAGTAGCATTAGTGTATTTGTAGAATGTGAATGGAAGAATAACAGGATAACGATGAGCCTATACTCATGCTAAGAGTGCTACTAGTGTGATCCATTATTATTATTATTATTATTTATTTATTTCAATTAATTATTCTTTTTATCTAAGGTTCTGGTTGAGATGAAAAATGTAGTGTCAAGAGCAGGATTCGAAGCCATGACCTTCGGCTACACGGACCTAGCCGAAGGTCTTGGGTTCGAATCCCGCTCGTGACACTAACCTTTTCATCCCAATTAGGACCTTGGATAAAAAGAATAATTAATTGAAATAATTAACATGGTAGTTAGACCACTAAACATATATGGATTAACATAATAATAATAATTATTATTATTATTGGCCATACAAGCCTGTGGAAAATGTTTAAATATGGAACGAAAATTCGAAATTCTAATAAAAGCACAGGAATAAATTTTATAATTTAAATTTTTTTTCATAATTTGGCCTGCCAAAATAGGGATTTTTAAAAGCTAAATTACAGCTTTGGATGGCAATTAGTTGATGAATGAATGTTTGGGGAGTCAGAGCTTGCACTCAGAAAGGATGTAGATAACCTAAGATGAAGGTTTAAATGTTAGGGCGTGAAATGACCTTAGCCGTTAAAACGCCCTTAGAAATTAATAATAATAATAATGAGTTGAGTATACAAAACAAAACACTCAATAAAGGCGATAAGGCGTGGTCTTTTGAAATGGGCGTGGCCAGATTGAACTATAGGCGGGGTCTGTTTTGCGGTTGTACCGTGTAAAATGTTCATATCATTGGAAAAATAACATACGGTTTATTTATGTTATTTTTGATAAAGTGAAAACCATTATTATTATTGGATACAAAAGACCACGCCCTTTATCACGTGTTTAATTTATATACTTAACTCGTTATTATTACCATTTGTCTAAAGGAGGACATTTTCAATTGTAGAAAGCTTGACGTATATAGAAAATATTTTGGTATATCATCGGACCTGCGCGTAATCTTGGGGCAAGCAGCGGGCAAAGATCGCTGTTCGGGTACTTCAGGGCTGTAGGGATTTTTAAATGTATATAGTGAATATGTGTGTTTGTATAGTGTCTGTGTTGACTTTATGTTATTGGAATGAATGTAATTTATTAGCGAGAATGGAGTGTGTTCAACCCCGCCCCGAGGATATCGAGTATTCTGGGAGAGTGAATGTGACCAGACTTCCATGTTTGTAGCGATGTATACATATGTATAGTGTATTTTGTTTCTATTCTCTATTTGACAACCTGGGTAGAAACGAGGCTAGCAGTTTAGGATATCGATAGTGCATATTTAAAAGCAGAGAGTCAGAAACCAGATCGAGACGTTCAAAACGGCTGCAGTTTAAAACAAAATACGTGCGAAAGAAGACAGAAAGGAGGAAAACACGCAGAGGGCCGGACATGACCTTAGCTGTTTGTTTGTGTATATATATANTTTTTTTTAATGAAAACTTAAAATCCTGCATTATTTTCCGGACAACCCGATATATATACATATGTATATAACAATATAGCAATGTGTGTCCAACTAAACTTTTTTTTCAAACAATTGAAATCCTTCCCCAAGCAAATGAAACCTTTTTTTGAAACAATAGAAATTTTTTTTTCATGCAAATGAAACTTTTTTCCAAGCAAATGAAACCTTTCCCCAGGTAGGTAAAAACTTACTTTAAGCAAATGAAATCCAAAAATTAGGGTATTTTATAAAATGTAAAAGTAATTAAAATGTAATTTATTCATTTTTATTCCCACAAAAATGTTTTAAATGTGATAATTCAAATATGAAGATTAAAGTCGAGCTCTTCCTGCAACAGTTGCCGGTAGTTTTAACATTAATACCAAAACGTAATTGGTGTAACTGAGTTGAACTGCAGCTGATGATCTCTGCAAGATCACTTGCGATGTTGGTCGAATCAATTAACATCCTTCTCGCACTTGCTTTGATTTTCGAAAAGGTTTGTTCAACCGGGTTTAACATCAGTGAATATGGCGGTAAGTATTTTATCTTGTGTGAGAAGGGTTCTACTTCAGCAATTACTTCCGCTGTCTAATTTGTATTTTGTCTGACATCTTCGACGTACGTAGAAAAGTTTGAAATAAGGATCTTCATGAACTATTTAAAGAAAGAAACATATAAGTGCATAGGCCTTAAGGTTCAATTATTGTAATAATATTAATATTCAACCATCATAAAATTATTTTTAGTACTACAATTTTATTAATTTATTCCTCTACATAATTATTATTATTAATAGGCTGTAGATTTCATTTGCTTGTCAAAAGGCTTCATTTGCTTCGAACTACTTAACTTACTAACTACTTACTACTAAATACTTACTATTTAACTTATTATTATTATACTTTGCCATCACTTTAGCAGCCACTCAATAAACAAACCGTACATTATTTTTCAACTTATAAGAATATTTTATACGGTACAGGCACAAAACAAGCCACGCCCATAGTTGTCTGGCCACGCCTTTTCTAAAAAACTGCGCACATCCGCTGTTTAATTTTTATGCTTAACTTGTTATTATAATTATCAATAACTACATAAACTATGTTCTTTTTCAAATTGTAAGAACTTTTTACACGTTATTTATATACAACCCTACCCACCTATGTGCTTGTTTAGCCACGCCCATTTCCTTTTTTTTTTCAATTTTTTTTAAATGAATTTAATAATAATTTGTAATTAAATTTTTTTTAAACATATGGAAATTTGACATTAATTACGTTTTTAAATTTTTTAATAAATGAATAAAATGTTCTTCAATTGTTTTAATTTTAGCAATGAAGTGAAGATGAAAGATTGCATTTTAGAATGGCACAGGATGCCGAAATTCGAACAATTAAAAATAAAAATCTTCACCAAAAAGGACTAAAAAACGACAAATATTAAACTTGTATCTACTATAATAACACAGAAAGTTCAGTGGTATTCGTATTTAATTGGTTTCACGTGAATGGATTTTGGTTATAACATATCGTAGGTTTCTCAAATATCGCAGCAGTAACCGAAAAACTTTGGGCATATCAGCAAAATTCAATCAGCTGTCGATTAGGAATTTGAATCGAGGTCAAGTCCTAAACGGGCTGACGGCCAGGGCCACATCGTAACGTCTTGGGTTGTCCAATTATCGTAGAAAAACTGAAATCCCTAATGTCACTTATTAATACGCCCAAGTTAGGCTACGTTATATTTTGAATGAACAAAAAAATAAAAATAAAAACATCGAAACTTCTGTTTTGATATCAATCGGAGTACATCTATTTACAACGGGTTTAAAACTGATGACAACCAAAACATTCTGCCAACGAGGAATTAATTGCATGCTGAGCGAATTCCGTTATAATAAATGCTATTACAAACGAACTGAATTTTTACTCCACATTTTACGAAGATTAAACAAAAAAAAAACCGTAATCATAAAATTAATGGATATTTATCATAGATATTATTGTACAATCGCCATTATTATCTAGAGCTCTTCGTTCAGCTTAAGGCCTTTTATCAAATCTCAAAGCTTCGTCAATATCTCCCTCCTCAAGGACTCCCGTGTAGTATCCTTCAGGCTTTTCCTCTTCCTGTAGTAATCTGTGCTAAAAGCTGGAGATCAAACCCCTAACCAACAGAGGACATGATCTTCCTGGCAATATCTGCACAGGCTTGTTTCTGCTCCGCTCAGTCCATTCTAATCCTAACAAATCCTGGGTTTATTAGTTCCTCTGATAGTTCCTACGTGTTCCTTTTCCTGAACTTTACTATCGAAGATGTAGAGCTGGCTATTGTTTTGATGGTAATACCCAGCTTTTTGATATCTCTGGCACAGTGCTCAATAGTAACACTTCGCCTAAAAGAAAGTGTCATATTACCCAGGGCTTATATAATTTCTATTTCTTGTTTCTTTCTATAGATACTTGGTCTTAGAGTCATCTGTATGCCAGATATAATCGGCATTGGATCCCTTTCTTCTAGTCTGCTATGTCGGGTATTTAAATTTGAAATGTCTTATCAATTCAAACTGTCATTCCCAAAACTTTGTTGTTGATGTTCCTAGTGATAATTTTATGCGAGTTGGCTATTGAAGCCTGTTTCTTCAGTAGTTTGAGGATTGTGGCTTTGACCTCATCCTGGATGAAGATATGTTGTGGCGGTATTCAGGAGGACTTCCAGGACAAGGCGAGCTAGTCTCTGTGCAGTGAGTATACTGAACACCCTCAGCTATATTGTCATCGACCATCAAAAGTCTGATCCGTAGTTTTCATGGCTCTAACGACCATCAATCGATCTATGGATCTATAATTTACAATCGAAGTTAATACTATAGTATGCCTTTCTGCCTAATGCATTAACTTCACCAACTCATTCTAAGCTCCAGATTGTAAACCCTTTTGCAGCTTTTCAATATTTTATGTTCTTTCTCAACTATTCACTATATGCCAATGAACAAACAGATACACTGACCAAAGGATCAATAATTGGGATAAGA